AAAAAATGATAGTAAAAAAAAATATGAGGTTCTCTCCCAAGTTACACCATAGCAAGGTTCATTGATTTTTAACATGAACAATGTCTTTTTATCTAAGTACTTAAATCCGCATGTGCATTGGGATAGCGAAAGAAGCCTTCCAAAAGCTAAGCAAAGATAAACAGAAAAAAATTTGTTTGCAACAAAGAAAAAGAAAAGTGTACTGAACTGTTAAGTAATATTCATCCTCCTATATAGCAGTGAATGCTGGACAATCTCCTCACAGATGAAGAGGAGACATGAAGCAACAGAAATTTGTTTCTGCATAAAGATGCTGAGAATACCATAGTCCAAACATGTGAGCAATGACCAAGTTTTAAAGAACTTAACATCAGGAAGAGATAATTGAAATTTTTAGGGCACATAATGAGACTCCATTTCAAATCACTTTATCAGAGAGGTGACTTCCAATAATATCAACATGGGGGAGATTTACTGTTGGGAAGTACCCAGGTAAGCCATACCACAGGTTGACCCAGGCCTTGTAAGTGAAATTGGATAGAAGTGTTTAGCATCTATCAACGCTTGCTCTAGCAGGAAGTCATTGTGAACAAGCATTCTTAGCATACTGGCATTGTTCAAACTGTTGATCACACCAGATTATGCATTCTCATTCTTAGAAACTGTAACTAAGATCTGTTCAGTATAATTGCAGTATAAACCACAGGTGGGTGTTTGAACACAAATGGGCCTGAGCAGCCATCTGCAGCAAAGATTAGGTTAGCCACCTTATCAGACAAGTGAGCAGTGTTTATACAATGCAAAAAATCCTTTAGTTTATTTGGAAACATTTTGTTTTTTCTCTCATGAGCTTCGAGTAATACTTTTCATTGTCTCCTCACTTGATTTAAAAGTGCTCTTCAATCCTGTTTTCTACTTCATCTAAATCAGTAAATGATGAAGCAGGACAATAAAGACTTTTTGGCAGGTCAGTAAGTGAACAATTTAAGAGTAAAATATAAAATTTAAAACCTTGAGTATCAGCTGAGTAAAACATTGAGGGAAATTTAAAATGATAATTCCTAACTTCTCTCCAGTGAATAATTTTCTACTTGTAAAATCTAATTAGTAAATATCACTTTTAATAAAGCAATGTCATTTCTATAACCCAAATTACTTACTGTGATTATGCTTTGTAGTGAAAATATCCAGACAAAACTCTTTTAAGTACATTACTGTTCCACTTATTAGTGTCTTGGTGAACTTAACACTGCTTTTGATTGACTTAGCACTTTGTTCTCACATTTTGTACAGTAAAGCATAAATCTAGTTTTAGTGATTCTTACAATAAATGTAAATTAAATTTTCTTACAAATAGTGGCAGTAGGTACTTATTAATAAGGACAATAATGATCATGGCAACAGGTTGGGTGATTAGTGGGGATGGTGATGTTTTTCAGTTTTAGAAAGAGTATTTAAAATCCGGCTTTGGTCATGTTTAAATTACTGGGATAATTTAAAATGTATTATATTGTTTTGTTGAATTCTGAGACTTCTTTTGTCAGTGAAAGTTGGATCTTGTATAAAAGGATAATTTCTTTTATTTTCTCTCCTCCTTTGTCCTGGTGTCACTCTAAGTTTTAGAATAAGCTGGTCTCTATTTCTTGTTTACTATTTCATCTGTATTTTAATAATAATGGCTGTAAATAGGAGACATCCTAACCCTTTGATTGTGTATGTATATATATATATATATATATATATATATATATATATATATATATATATAAAAATGTGTGTGTACATGTCATTGTTGGCACCCGCTTGTATCTGAGCATTGGGATCGTCATCCTCTCTCCCTGTTTCTTTCCTCTCCCTGCCAGTGGCAGTAGTAGAGATGGCTGTGAAGGCCCAGCCTACTCCTGAAGAGTCATGAGCAGGAGTCACAGATCAGTGTGGGTGGTGGACATGACTGGGTGAGCCAAGCCTTTCGTACAGCACGTCACAGATCCTCTTAATGTTGTTGGTTCAACTCAAAAGTCTAGGTCCCCTCCTCAGATGGTTCTATCCCAGAAGTCTGGTTTGCAGCAATGACTTCTCTGGTTTCAGGGTAGATGTTGGCTTGTGTCAGAGATGTCTTATATAAATATTAAGAATAAAAGCTAAAGCATATTATAAATTAAAGACTTAAAATATAAACTGAGGGCTCAATGCCAAAGTGAGCAGAGCCTAAATATATTATCAATAACAAAATCTGCTACTCATAATTTCATGTAAAAACAATTATCAGGCAGAATTTTTTATATATATATATATATATATTGTGTGTTTTTAAGACTGTAAGGTTTGTTTTATATATCCCACACAGGTAAAAATATGTAGGAAAAAGAAGTTGAAAATGCAACTGGAGTCTTCTAAAATATTTATTTACAGTAACTTTACCAGTTTCATAGTTTTATGATTTTCAAAAGTTGAGATGAAGAAATGTGTAGCTATATCATGATCTGTTTCGTAATATATTCAAACGTTATTTTCAGTGGATGCCCATATTTGAGTAGAAAGCTTTTTGTTTTTTTAAATGATATTTATATCATCTATTAAACTGTGTTTTGGAGAAAACTTAATAAAGATGTACCTCCGGCAGGATTTGAACCTGTTTCCCCCTTTTGTAGGAGGAACCACTTTCTGATCCACCATGCCTCACAGGCAATTAAGGTTCTATTTACTTTCAAGTCCATCTTATCTTTACTGACAGGGATTTCTGGCATTGCCTAAGGTGGGGAGAGAAATAACTTAAAATATGACAGGAAAAAATGTTAGCATTTTTCCTTATACAGAATAAGAAAAAAATGTATTTACACATGAAAAGTTTTGTCTTTTACTGAAAAGATATCCTTATGCATAAACCAATGAATGATGTAATCACTTGGATTGACAGGACTTCTAAGTACACAATGTTAGTATTTCTCTCATTGGGTGCAATATAAAAAGGTTGTTTAGTGATTCAACTCTAGAATAACCAACATAGTGAAAAATCATGAAGTCTGATTGCAGTCATTGATCCAAAGAGATCACCTTGTTGATAATGGTAAAACTGAACTTCACTGAGAAGTGAAGACTCTTGAATTCCAAAGGCAAATCTGTTGGGCATATAGGGACTCCTCTTTACTTTGGATTCTTGTTTTTTTTTTTTTTTTTGTCTGACATGTGAGAGAAGCTGCTTGTCAGTTTGGTGACTTCCATTGCCCAATTTTGGAGGGTTGATATTTTTGAAAAATAGGATGGTTAATGGTTAATTGAATTCTGTGGGGAGAAACACTAGGCAGTTCAAGCAAGATAGTTGAAGAAATCAATTAAGTTTTAAACAATTTTCACAATGTCTGGAGCTGCATTGACATGGACCACTCCACAAATATGTTGCAACAGCTTTTGAATTTATTTCTTTTATGGTATCATTCTTTGGACTGCCTTTCTCTCGGACAAAATTTCTATGGCAAAAATGGAAAAAAATAGTTTAATTTTGAAAATTTCAGTATTTTTATTATGGTTGCATTATCATTTACAAACAAAACAAAGAATTTTTTTTTAAGTCCTTAGTTGATTTGTTTAGCTGAATAAAGTTATTTGAAGGTGACCTCCAAGGTTATTGGATATCAGCACTATTTCTCTTTTCTACCCAAGTTACTCCCATGTACTAGTTTGCACCTAAGAATACAATTGTTTAGTTGTAATATAGATAATAAAGATGGCAAACTAATACTGTCTGTAAATACCACAACTGCCATACAAACTAATATTGCCTCCAATGACCTCATTTGCCCTACAAACAAAGGCTGCTTCCAATGACTTCATCTACTCTCCAAACAAATACTGCCTCCAATGACCTCATCTACTCTCCAAACAAATACTGCCTCTAATGACCTCATCTACTCTCCAAACAAATACTGCCTCTAATGACCTCATCTATTCTCCAAACAAATACTGCCTCTAATGACCTCAATCTGACAAATACTGCCTCTCATCTCATCTGCTCTCCAAACAAATACTGCCTCCAAACCTCATCTGCTCTCAAACAAATACTGCCTCATGACCTCATCTCTCCAAACAAATACTGCCTCTAATGACCTCATCTACTCTCCAAACAAATACTGCCTCTAATGACCTCATCTGCTCTCCAAACAAATACTGCCTCTAATGACCTCATCTGCTCTCCAAACAAATACTGCCTCTAATGACCTCATCTGCTCTCCAAACAAATACTGCCTCTAATGACCTCATCTGCTCTCCAAACAAATACTGCCTCTAATGACCTCATCTGCTCTCCAAACAAATGCCTCTAATGAGCCTCATCTGCTCTCCAAACTAATGACCTCATCTGCTCTCCAAAGAAATACTGCCTCTAATGACCTCATCTGCTCTCCAAAGAAATACTGCCTCTAATGACCTCATCTGCTCTCCAAACAAATACTGCCTCTAATGACCTCATCTGCTCTCCAAACAAATACTGCCTCCAATAACCTCACCTGCCTGTCTGGCCATTTATGAGGTAAAAAAAATATTTTTGTACCTTGTAACACACTCAATATCTCCCTTCATTTTGCTACAAATGGCATGCTTTGCTTTTTGATGACCTCCAAAGTCAATCTCATATAACCTGTGGTATTACTTGGTTGTTTATGTAAAATCATGGGTTCACTGAACTTACTTTTTCATCATGATATCAAAAAATACACATGAACTTCAGTATAGTAATATACAGATAATATATAATGGGTTGACTGATACATGGCATATTTTGCCATTGAACTTTAATGAGTATATTGATTTAATATTAACAAAACTCCCTTCCTAAAGCAATGGCAACTTTAATCCCCTTCAAAGTACACTCTTAAGATCTTATATACTTATCTCCACATCTGTTTCACATTTCAAAACAGTCCGCAACATCATCTTTCAGAATCACCATCAGAAGCCTTTTTACAGTCTCCTTAATCTTTTTATTTGTTTATTTATTTTTCCAGTTGATAAACTGAATGCCATGGAAATGTTGTTGGAATCTTTTGGAAATAGTCGGATTCTTCTCAACACCAATGCTACAAGGTTCACTCAGCTCATCTCACTTGATTTTGACTTCTCAGGACAAGTTTCATCTGCCACAATTCAGGTCAGTTGCTTATGAAAAAAAAAATAAAAAAAATTTCTTTCTCAAATATTTTAAATCACCACAAAAAAAACAGCTTATGAAAGAATTTTTGAATAAAATATGTTTATATAAATAGTTAACATGCTGGGAAAAAGATAAAACCCAAGGGACAGTTGGTTTGCATGCACACATTACAGAAAAAGTATTTACTAGGAGTAGATCGGTTTTCATATTGTCCAGTTCACACTCATCCCCAGTTGTTTGAACAGGAATAGATGTTTATCCTTTGTTTTCTGTTTAGGATGGGATTTCAGGTTCTTTTAAAAGTCTTTTCATTCTCCTCCACTCTCAATAGCCCCTTGTGTCATGGTGGCATTATTTCCTTGCTTGTTTTGAGCTGATTTTAAAAAAAAAAATTAAGCTTTTTATAGTTGTTTTAACTTGGCATCATTATTAATAATCAAATTCTTTATTTTTTTTTTCCATGTTATTTAAGGTTCTTCAGATTAACCATCAACATTTTTCTCTCTTGTGCACTAGTCAACAATGGTGGTTAATTAACTGATTAATTAAAATTAACCTCTTTGGAAAATTAATTTAAAAAAAAAAATTAAGAGAAATAGTTTTTTGAATTGGCTATTTTCTTGTTTGATTTACTTCTCGATGTACTGTACTTTTTATCTGAGAAAAGATCAAGAAAATTTGAAGCATTCAGCCAAGGACAATGGTATTGTGCAAATAGTGTAATAGATAGTGGCATGAAAAATGGAATAGGCGAACAGAGTTCAAATTCTGGCCTACTTGGTAAAGTCATGAATCCATATCTTCTCCTGGCAGCTACAGATTAAATTTCAGTGTAGATGGGGTTCTCTAATCTTGTGTGGCAACCAGTCTAAGAGAAGGAAAACTTTGAATTCCAAATAATGGAGAAGGCAACAAGAAACCACTCCTTTTTCTTTCTCAAGAAGCCATAGTAATTCAGAGATGATAAAGAAATATGTGCAGAATCATAATCGTCTCCATCCTAAAGGAACATGGCAATTAAAAAAAAGATGTTTAGTTTTGTTGTTGATAGCTAGATACATTGTTAGGAATAAAATTTTCATCCAATAAGATGACTGCTTTTTCACAAATATGACAGCTGTTTCTCTGAAATAGTTCCTATACTAGAAATTGTCTTGCTCAGGTTAAAAACACACTGTTTTATATTGGCTGTATGTAGCCTTACTGTTGTCAAATTGTCTCGTGTACTTTTTGACTTTTGATTAGATAGTACTGTTTTTAAGTGTTAGAGTAAGCTTTTGAGAGAATTGATATTCTTGAACAAAATTTTTGTGTGAATGTATTGTATCATGTTATATCAGCATTTACTCTTTTATTTTATCAAAACTTGTATTTTAAAAAAGAATAATGAGGATTTTTTTAAATAAGTATACTTCCAGAAACAGTATTTTACACTGTAAATTATATATTAGCCAATCATAGACAGAAGCATAAACATAATATTTGGGTTTCTGTCAAGATTACATGCACATGCACACATGGGTTGCACTTTTGGAAATTCAAGTTATTATCATTGAGTCATAAGTAATCTGTAATTAGTTTCACTTACTTACATGTGTTTGCTCCATATGTTATTAATCAGTTTATCTTAATCTATTCAATTTGTGGAGGTGCAGATAGTGTAATGGCTATTGGTGCAGAAAGTGAGCTCAGTGTACCATGTTCAAATCCAACTCAAGTCTGTTTTGTTCACTTTTTCTTCCTGCCTTTACAAAAGTCATGAATCTATCCTCTTCTATCTGTGGGTTGAATAACAGTGCAGGTTGAGCTCTCTTATCTTGGGGTAGCTACCAGTCTAGGAGAAGGAAAACTCTGAATTTAAATCCAATCTGAAGAGAAATTGGCTTTGTCAGGCTATCTTGCTCTAGACACACCCACTGCTGCTATCGCTGTACTACATGTGGTGTCCTGATGATTCTAATGAGTTATGGATTTATTCAACTTGAGTGCATTTTTTTGACATTTAAATATTCAATGAGATTTATTTTTTGACATTCCTGTTTCTGCCTCGATCCTTCCAGATAATTTGCCAAGTTTATTTTCTGTTTTATGCGTTCATATTTTTTATTGATTTTTCTCATGACTTTTCTCTTTTGCAGACTTTAATGTTGGAGAAATCACGTTTAGTACGTCGCCCAGAAGGAGAACCTAATTTCCACATTTTCTATTACATGCTGACTGGGGTTGACTCCCAACTAAGGTGAATTTAATGTTCTTCCTATCTTCTTTTTTTTTTTTTAATGTGTTTATTTGGAGTAGTAATATCCTCATACTTGTTGTTTATATCACAGCATTTTGTGTGAAGTGTTCTTGAGCTTTCTTCAGTTTCGATGTAATTTGAATTTTGTCCTGTTACTTACAAAGAAATATTTGGGGAATGGAGAAGAAACTTTATCGATCCATCCATTTGTCATACACACACACACACACACACACGCACACATCTATATATGAAATATCACACACTAAGTGCTGGTGGTAATAAAATCCGATTTAAAATAATAAAGTTAAAATTTATACTAATAATAATACATATACATTTTATTTCTCACTGTTTGGGAGGTTCATACCAAATGGTGGGGAATAAAGTTTATTATTATAATATAAATATAAATATAAAACTGGACATTGAGTTTAACACCCAGTGGTGACAGTCTGTTTAATACTTAAACACAAGCTTCAGGCTATGGGTTATTGGAAGTAGTAATATCCTTGTAGACATGGCCTGAATATTTCACTTAAGCATGAAACAGATTGTCACTGTTGGGTGCTGACTTTAATGTCCACTTTTATATTTACATATGCTCTATGCTTGATATTGAGCACTCTAACCCATAAATGTAGCATACCGTAAAACTATATTTTTATCATACCCCCCGAAGAGTGGACAGGCATATCCGCTTATGAACCTCTGGAGTAGGGATGGTGAAGGCAACATCAATTAGCTAATTGGCAAAATTTTACTCATATTAATCTTATATATATATATATATATATATATATAGTTTTTTTTTTTCTGCTCATATGTTATTTTCATAGATACAATTTATTTAAGTAAATGCTCTACTGTTTTTTTTTTTTTTTATTTAAACAGTATTAATTACATTTACCATCCTGAATAGACTTTATCCATTTCATTATATATATATATATATATATATATATATAAATCTTCATTCAGGGCTATAATGATTTTGATGTTGTCTGAAATTCTAATTCATCATAATTATTCCATAATCTATTTGGAATGTTATCCTCATGCCCTTTTTTGTTCTTCTTTTGATATTTCCATTCCTGTATTCTTTGAACTTATGTCAGTAATTGTCTGAAGGTTACACTAAATAATGATAATGACTCATCTTGGCAATTCAGACATTTGTTATTTTAACTCGTGATAATTATATGAGAAGTGTGAAGCTAATACCATATTGCAGACAGTATTTTGAGATTAACTGAAAATTATTAAATAATCTCAAAAGTTGTACTTAAAGCACATTTGATATTTTTACAAAATATAAGTATTATCTAAAAATACAACTTGAAGACTTTACTATATCATTATAACTGCTATTATTGTGCTCAAAAGTTCATCCTTGTAACTTAGATTTCTCCCCAATGACAATAATAGCAACCAGTTATGTCTATCAGTTTTACAGATAATGTAAATGAGAAAGAAGAGGGACATAAAAACTATTTGTGGACAGGGAATGTATAAACTTTTGGTTGTATGTATATAGATGATCTCATGAGACATTTTTCATTTTAGAAATGAACTTCAATTGACCTGCCTGACAGATCCTAATCAATTCATGACCCCATTGCAGAGGGTGAGTATCCTTATAGTAAGAGACATTTTATGAAAATTTGTTACAAAATAATGAATAAATTAATTGAATAGATAGTTAACTGTCATTTTGCAAGGTAGATTTCAGCTGTCATGTTTTTATATTATTTGGGGCATGTCGTCCTGGTTCATGAATTGTCAAATACTTTATCAGGTTATCATATGAGTTGACTTGCTTTGGAGAAGTGGTTAGTGATCTAGTCTCGAAGATTATTACTATCAAGTGAATTTGATCTTCACAGGAAAACCCAGCATTTTGTGTTGAACTGAGCTAAGCTTGGTAAATATCAAATTATGATATTGCCATCAGCTCATGAATTGTTAAAATCATTTTGAGTTTGATTATTCCAAAATATTCATTTGTATCTGTCTATATTTCTGAGATGAGGTATTATGTATACTATTTACATTATTCGGGCTATTGTTCTCATCTTTGTCGCCATATTTATTAAGTTTCAGCTGTTGTACGCTCCAACCATCTTCAGGTGGTTGGAATGTCGAACTGAACCCTTTATTTCACTCACTGGGGTAGACTGTTCTAGTTCCACATGCCATGTTTAATGGATGTCAGTTATCAGTTATCTCCTGTTAATTTCCCTCTCCAAGTTCTCCACTGCCTTAACCAGGTATTGAACTCACACTCTTTGGGTCCTGTCACTGGATCTAACTAACACTGTTATCTAGTGGCAGAGTGGATAAAAGTGTTAGTTTATCCACTGTGCCGTGTGGCGTTAGTTAGATCCAGTGACAGGACCCAAAGAGTGTGAGTTCAATACTCAGTTAAGGCAGCATACTCTGTTGTAATAAATATGGCAACACAGATGAGGAAAATAGTCTGAATAATGTAAATAAATTCATTTGTATAGATTTTTTTTTAATCATTTCACCTTGATCAAGGTGGGAATACCACTAGTATGCAAGGGGGTTACAGGGAGTGAAAGTGAGAGAGGATTTAGGAAAGGACAAAAGATGAGCAGGATTCAAGAAGATAGAAGATGGCAATTGAGTTTGCATTTAAATTTTTGAAGATTGTAGTTATCAGAGCAAGTAAACCGAAGGGAGTTCCACAGGTGGGAAGTGTGAGAAAAGAAACTGTTGGAGTAGAAGTGGCGATTGCACTTAGCTATTTTAACAGTAAATTGGTGGGACCTAAATGCTAATCTGGTATCACGCTTAAATTCACGAAGTTGACGCATAAGGAGAAAAAAGTTTGTCAGAGTAGTTGCTATGAAAATATTTTTTGAAAAGACAGAGGGAAGCTACATCACATCGGTGAGAAAGTGATTGAAGTTTAGATGCCAAATAGATTACAGATTCTTCTTTGGATTTTGTTAAGAACCTAGAGATGAATAGCAGGAGCACCAGACCAGATATGGTAGCAGTATTCAATACACGGACCAATGGTAGATTTTAAAATGTGCAAGATGGACTCTGATGAAAAAAATTTTCTTGCACAACACAGTGATCCAATCTTGTCTGCCAGAATGTCTGCTAGGTGATGTTCTATTCAGAAATATAAAAGTAAAGGATTCACTCTATTTTTCTCCTCTTGGATATAGTAGCAACAATACAGAACTCTTCATGTACTGGAAGGCACTCCTTGGGCAGCCAACTACTTAAGTTCATTCAGCCATGTTCTGCATTACATGCACTCACTTCAACTATGCATGTAATTTCTTTTTTTCCTATTTGTACACATGTAAATATATTTTTCTATTTCTCTTTTGTAAGCTATGTTCTTTATATAAATACATATAAAATTCCTCCTTATATTGAATTCATTTCTTTTGAAAGACACTAACCTGTCTACCAATGGTTAGTGATCTAGTCTCAAAGATTTAGTGTCTTTTGATAATTGTGTTGAGTTTAAGTAGATGTAATAGAATACGTTGATAGTTTTACAATGTGGGTATTACAGATTTTACAATACCAGACTGACTTTCAGGTACTTTTTATTTATTCAATTATTATATTCCTCCTAAAAATTCACTTGGGACTTCTTTGTCCAATTCTGTTTCCTTCTCTTTGTTCAATTTCTGATAACAATTGTCATTGACTCAGTAATAACCTATACCATATTTATACCACATGACTGTTGCAGACTTTTTTTTTTGTATGATTGTATGAATATAAGCTTGGATTTGATCAGCATTTCTCTGATCTCTGGTTAACTTTTTTTGTGCCAATGGTTTTACTAGTGGAATATCTTAAGACATGTTTTTTTTATACCAGATGAATATTAATTCTATCTTAACATGATATGCAAGCACACATTGTATTTAATCTTTTCCATGTATATTACTGGTAAAATAATCAAAATACTTGTCTTATATCAAAAATGTCTTAAAATAGCTTCTGCTAGTGATAGAATGGGCACAAAAAGGTTGAGAGCATACATGCATATCAATAGCTTTGTAGGGTTGTTATTTTATAATGGCTCCTGACCTCAAGGAACTCACAAATATAAATATGAGGTACTAAAAGAAAATGAAAAGAAGGGTGCCAAAATTTGTTTACCATTTTTATTAAGGCAAGGTATTTTATCTAAAACCCAACAGCTTTCTTTAGTTTGAATACTATACAAATAAGCTATATCCACCTTGGATTCATTTCTAATTAAATATATTTATAAGACCAACATAAAAACAAAATAAGCCTTTAATATACATTTAATATATGCTGTTATATGATATAATATTTTTAATTTGATCTGTGCAAAGAAAAATTGTATAATAATAAAATTTCTAAATTTGTATCAAGACTGGAATTGATAATTTTAATATGTACATTCATGGTAAATTTAATAAAGATATTAGTATTATATTTTATTTTTTATTTTATTTTTACTCCAATCATAGAATTACTATGGATAAAGACACTGTAACAGAAAAGAAAAGTTCTTTTGGTAATTTTTGAATGTATCTTTTAAAAAGATATCAAACGAAAGTAACTAAATGCTATTTATTTGTTTGGAGTTTAAATGTGTTGCAAAATCTGTCCTGTTGCAAATATTTCTTAAAAATATTTTGGTCATGTTTAAATACTATTTTAAAAAATATCAATATGATAATCAACTTAACTCATAAATACTTACACAAGTCCAACTTCAGCACAAAGCTGTATTTTTTTTATGGTTGAGCCAGGCCAGTATTCCTTTTATTGTTTTGTGTATGTTATCTATAAAGAAATATTGTTCACAAGCGGAAGGTAGAGAATTATTTAACTTTTTCCTGTTTTGCTTTCAGAATGAAGACAGACAAAAAGCTGCACAGTTTTGGGCAAAAGTTAATAATGCCATGGAAATTCTTGGATTCTCTCAAGAAGAAATGAAGGCTATTTTCTATGTGTTGGCATCAATCTATCATCTGGGAGCTGCAGGTGCCACAAAAGGTTTGTTCTTTTACATGAAATAATTATTTTGCTTTATTAATTTTGAAAGATTTAAAGTTGAAGAAAATAGGATAATAATTGGTTTATTTATGTAAAACTGCTTGGATTAATCAAAATGCAGTTTAACTAAAGTCAATTTATTTTGATATTATTTTTCATTCAATAATTAAGAAAATCATTAGTAATAAGAGTTTACATTGTGAATGATGTTTACATAAAAGCACATACATGGACATATTTAGATATGGGTGAAAATTGATATGCATATTTGTATGCAGTTCTTACATTTGTAGGTCAGGTCTTGTAAGCAATTATATTTTTTTATGCAATTATTATTCTTGTGCCAGATTGAAATAAATTGGTGTATAAATTAATTACAGAATAAAGAATAGATTGTGCTACAGACCTAATTCCTATGGATTTTTTTCTCAGGGAACAACCTCACACCAGTTGTTTATGTCAACCAACTCGGAACAATAGATTATTTTTTAAAATCCTTTAAATTTGAATGCATAAATATCAGAGAAAACTGTTACATAAGAGTATTCCAAAATTATGCATCAATCAAGTTGAAAAGCATTTAGAAGAAAATGGCAGCCAATTTGAATATTATATTAGGTTGAGTCATAAGTAAATTCCATTTTGGACATTCAATTGTAATGATCAATGTATCGTCTTAACTACTAATCATATACATGGTGCAATGAGTAAATTGTTGCCATTTTATATTTTTAATTTTGTGTATGGGCATTGTTTTGATTTTGTTGACTGCACAGTATAGTAGGGTCAGTTGGGCACCATCTGTGAGAAAAAGAGCACCATGATGCAATCCACTCTACCAGAAATTTGGAAACTGCATGCTGTACTGCTTGGCATTTGTGCCAGAAGCTCCAATATGATCATTTCAGTGTTTTGGGTGTGTAAGAACTGAAGGCAAGGATTATGGCAGCATTCACCAACTTAAACAAGGAAACTATCCAGAAGAGTTGCAGGAGATTCTGAAGTTGTCTGGAGGCTGTGGTTGAAGCCAATGACGATTTTATTGAATAAATTTACTCTTTAGTATTTCAAGATATTTTTGTGTAATTTTGGTAAATATATCTGTTAAAATGAGACGTCAGTGTTATTTTCATTTTTGCATAATTTAGATGACAATTTATCCATCGCACCCTGTATGATAGTTAAAAATAAATTTGGAGTACACTAACACAGATTAGATTTTGTATGGCCGTGTCAGCATACACGGTGGATTAAAGGAAAAATGTTGTTGTCTTCAATGAAAACTGCATAAAGAAAGAATAACTTAGGAAAAAACTTTGTAACTCAGCTGCCCTGTTATATCCTGCCTGCCATCTTCATCTGATCTTGCACCAACGAATTATGACCATTTTTCTATCGCTGCAAAACACTTACTTACATGGGGAAAACTTTGTCTTATGAAAGCCAAATTTAAGAGTTTGAAAATTTTTTCACATCAAAACTGGCAGAATATTATTCAAAAGTTATCGAAGAGTTGCCTGATAAGTGCCAACAAATCATTGCAAATAAGGGTGAATATATAACTGAATTATTTGTAGTATTTTAAAAAAATTTTTTTTTTTAAAAGAATAAAATTGATAAACAAAAATGGAAATTATGACTCAATCAGATAAATTGTTATAGGGCTTGACTTATGGCAAACACTGTCTCTCTCTCTCTCTATATATATATATATATATATATATATATATATATATATATTGTGGTGGAAAATGGTATACAATATTTGTAAGGTGTTCAAGAGGTTTGATCATGCTATCCTGAAACAGGCACTTTGGAAGCAGGGCATGACCTCAATCCCAGATAATTTCATCCTGAGCATGCATGTAACATCTGTGGCAAGGTTTTCTTTTCCAAATCAGGATTTGTTAGTCATCTTAATGGTAACCAGTCCCAAACAGACTACATTGGTAACCATCTACGATAAATTACAAGGAATGTGTATCAATTTTATGACAAAGTATGTGGGTCAACAGCAGATCTGAAGAGTTGCATGAGAGTGCACACACACACACACACACACACAGATTGGCTGGCCACTCATATCTGAGGGTACCCATTTCCTGGGGTGGATAGCTAATCCCTGTTGCAGATGCCTACTCAGGTACATTTGTATTTGTTCAGCACCTATTTTTATACTGCAACTATGCTGAGTGGACCTTAGTTACAGTTTCTGGGAGAGAGTGTGTTGTCTAGCACGATCAACAGTCTGATCAAGGCCAGAACTCTCAAACTTTGTACTAGCACAACCAAAGGTTCTGTCTACCCAGTTTAATTCACAAGGCTTGGGTCAACCCATGGTATGGTTTTCAGGCACCTTTCAAAGGTGCTGCATTCTGGGATTGCTTCCTCCAGACCAATAACATCAAGACGACACCTTCCTGACAAATCGACTCTGGGGAGATTCAAACCCGGGTAGCATGGCCAGAAAGTGAATGTCCTTTGTACTTACATGAGAAACAATATACTACTAGGTTTATATAAAAAATGAAAGTTTACTAAATCAGTGAAATTAATTAGCTATTTTTGCCGTCATTGTCATAAATTTTACTTAAATAATATTTAAATATAATTTAAAAGAAAAAAAGTTACCTAATAATATACATACTTATACTTGATGTGAAAATAATTCTACATACTGTAAGGGATTCAATACATTTACTTGTTCTTAAAAGAAATACAGTATATTGAAAATTAAAAGTGAAAATATTTTTCAAATCGTAGTTAAATAAAACGTATTCTAACCTAAACACCCCCCACCAAAATCTTTAAATATACAAATAGGAAAAAATGCCGTAAGAATTTTTGCCGTTAACAATAAATTTAAAAATCCAGATGACATGCATTTAATGGATGTCAGATTTCATTGAAAAATACATCCCTACCCCTACCAAAATGTAACTAATAACTGATACATCAAAATACAGCGATAATGAACACGCAAACACCCCTAGTCTGGTTGAATGGATTTCTCTGTAACCTTGGAAACGTGAATTATGATTTTTGTTGGGTCTTTAAAACCCAGTAATTTTAAAAGTTACTCCAAAATTCACTTGAGGATGAAATAGAACTAATGTCTTTAATTTAATTACAAAACTAAATTCGGAGTTTTCAGCTTCCACTTTTGAAACCTGGTTAGAACTGTGTAGCGAAAAAAAAAACATTTTAAATCAATTAATTTATAATATTAATGCTCTGTAAATTTACATTGAGCACTGTTTTGTAAAAATAAAAATATCTATGAGAACACCGGATTATATATCTTACTGTTCTTTCTTTTATTTATATATATATATATATATATATATATATATATATATATATATATACACACACACACACACACACACACACACACATGCACGCATGTATATTATATCAGTATATTATATCATATCTTTTATAACACTTTTCCATGCTTACGCCCACATCACATTGAAACACTGGCTCCCATACGATCACCAAATTAAGCAGCTTCGAACCTGTTCAATACCAAGATGGCTGACCATTTGGGAATACCAGGTGATGTAAGCTTAGATGTGCAGATGGTGTAATGGTTAATGGCTCAGAATTTTTAATTATAGTGCTGATTTCCAGTTTCCGTTGGGTTCATTATATTCACTTACTTGCAAAATACCCTTGGGGAATCTACCTCTTCTCCCTCCCCCCTTCCATCAATGGGTTGGTTAGTAAGACTTGTATCACTAAATCTAAAATATTTTCTGGCTTTAAATAATCAGCAAATGGTTGATAAGCCGTAGAAAATGAATTAAATCAATCTTTTTTGTATAACAATATTCATAAAACTTATCGCTAAAGACTGTAAGCTCAAAAGATTTGCAGATGATATAACTTTCACTTTCACTTCTAGCATTCATCATCTTTTAACATACAATAAAGACCTGATTATGCCCAGTTTTTTAATACACACTTAAATTGTTAATATTTAAAGAATTAAACATAAACACTATAAGGTATACATGTGATGTCAATGCACCAATGAAAACAAAGCAAACACAGGATTTAAACAGTGATACATATATTAACATTATTTCCCTTCACAAAATTTCTGATGAAGCTAAATAAATGGTGAAACATGTCAAATTTGTAAAAATTTTCTTACTTGTTCCTTGTTTAATTGGTCTCGGATTTAATCCATATTTTTCAACTTGTATGCACACACACACAAAAGGAATGCAATAAAAGTATTATCAAATTTGGTCCAATTTTTATCCTTTTTTATTAAAAAAAAGTTCATAATATAGGTGATATAGTTCTTTTATATTTAATTTGGATAGTATATTGATATATTAAATGTGTATTAATTACGGTAGACATTATTAACATTAGGACTAATAAAGAGTTTTCATTTACTAAGCTTAGTTTAATAACAGGACCACAAATTGGGGCACCTAATAAAGATCTAACTCACTACTCATTACTAATGGCCAACCAGAGTAGTTCATTAACAGATGCCATAGAAATATATATATATATGTGTGTGTGTGTGTGTGTGTGTGTGTGTGTGTGCTCAAAGCTTTAAAGAAGATGAAGCAATCTAGATCAAGCTAAAATTATTTATAGCAACTTGTCAGCTAGTTCACTTTCACCTTTGCTGGTGAGTTTAAAGTGAGCTAGCTGACAGGTTGTTAAAATTAATTTTAGGTTGATCTCATAAAATACAGAGAAAGAAGTAATTTGACAGAATATAGAAACAACACAATGATAAAACTGGAGAAAAAAATGTGGTAGTATTTTTTAATTAACTTTGATGGATTCATTATAACAAATGAAAATGGAAACAGATATTGTGACTCTACTCTCCTCAATTTGTCTATTGTTTTATCTTGACACAGAATTGCTTGGTTGAAATAGTGAATAGCAGTAATCTGTTTCTTTTTCTTGGAGATGTGAGCCAGAATAAATAGATAAATTCATATCATTTATGTATATGTGCGCATGTACACACATACACACACACACACACACACACTGAAAGGTTTGGCTGGGGTGAGCCATTTCCCCAAATCTGACAAAATGATCAAAGATGAGATTTCTGTTGGAATTGGGACTCTGGTCACTGATTTCCAATTCCAAGCTGTTATCGATTGCATCACCCACATGCACAAACTTCAAGCACCTGGTATTCCCAAGTAGTTACCTGTTTAGGTGCTGACCAGGCTCAATGTTACTTAAATTTGATGTCCATACAAGAACCAGTGGGCAGAAGGCTGTAGAATAGATTGGTCAAGACCTTGTGTTGACAACACCAAAGTTACAATGAAAAGATTCACTTGTTTGGGACGGGATATTTTTCACCCATTCTGTCAATGCATTAGTTATATTCCTATTGTTTTATGTGATATAAGCTGGGTTGTTGATTTAAATTTTTATTTTTTTTTTATTTTTGCATATAAAGAAAGCAAAAGAAAGAGCAAGGTTGATACAAATAGCTTGAGAGATTAAGATAATAGGATAATTCAAGGTTGCCAAATTAACAATTTTTGGATATATCTGGCTAACTTTTTCCCAATTTAGTTGATAAAAGTCTACATTTAATTTTTACCATTTTTTTTAAGGTTGTGGGTTCATCTACATTCAACTTATAGTTTTATTTTTGTTGACTTTTTTCAAATAAGGTCATATGACTATTTTATTCTTACAGCAATTTGAGATAACAGATTAACGAAGTGATCATCAGCTATTTGTACATAAATAATCTTGTAATATTTTTATGAGTAGTTTGCTAGCCAGTGATGTTTTCTAAACTTAGATCTGGGTTTTTTGATTCCTGTCTGTGTTGTTTTTTAGCTTTGAAATTTGAAAGTGTGATATACTTTTTGTGGTTAAGCAATACCTGTCAGCAGTGGCCTCATGAACAAATTTTCTTGTCCTATAGATTGGTGCATTCTAAACTGAGAAACATTCTCCGTACAGATAAAGCAGCAAAATTGATCTTCCTATTTTAATTCATGAATACAAATACTGCTCATATTGAATTTTAAAATTCATTACTGGTTAAAATTTTATTTTATAATAAAAAAAAATTATTTAGTTGATTAATAAATGTTTTTCTTCGTTGATAAAATTATGAAAACAAAAATATAAATCTTTTTCTTTAAATAAAGATTTTTGTAAAATTTGATTTAAATTAGTTATTTTAATGTTTATCATTCTGTATGTAACTTCATTTGCTGTACAAAAAGTTTATCCTGACACTAAAGATGATTCTGAACAAGTGTGTTTGAATTTTATAGTTGTGTTGTCATATCCTGCTATGGCAACAGAAAACAATTTTGAGTTAAATAAGGATACTGCAATTGAGAAGCCTTGAAAAAGAATGTAGTGGAAAGAATTAATATTAATAATACAGTGTACTAAAAAAAATCATTTGATTTAAATCTGGATTTAAATTAATGATTTGAATTTGTTTGATTTAAATGGAACAACTCTTGATGTGAGGATCAGAAATAAAATGATAAAATGGATTTGATACTTTGCTCTTGTATTTAAAGTCTTTTTTTAGTTGTTGGTACATCTCTCTCAAATATGTTGAAAGTACAAGTAGCTAATCCACTGACAGAAAATAGATCTTATTGTATGTGCAAAAAAATAAAAAAAATAAAAATTAGGGGGCAAAAACCCTATTGAATCTGTCATTATTTTTCTGCATTTTTCGCTTCTTGTTTCCTAACAGGAAATAACAACAAATCACAGTTTTCCAAACCTGCTGCAGCTCAAAAAGCAGCTTCCTTACTTGGTATCAAAGTGGAAGAACTATCTCGTATGATTTTTAGCCCCTCTACAGGCTCAGGTGGAACCCTTACCAGAAGCGCCTCTATGAGGTAAGAAAAGATCTTGTGATTTTGTAAATTTTCTTGCCCATTTTCTGTATAGAAATTCACCTCTTGCAATTTTAGATGAATTTATTTAGATGCCACGCCAAAAGTATCCCGAGTCACTGTATAGTTTTTCTGGCATTGACAATAGTATCAAGTACATTTTGAGAAAATTTATAACTGTTTCTTTTGTTTTCTAAAACTCTTCCACATTCTATACACTGATGTTTTATAATTTAAATAAAAGCTTTCAGACTATCATGCAAATGCAGTTGGCTCAGAAATAGCTATTTCTTCATAAGTAGACTTCTTTTTTTAATAATTTAACACTATATTAAGTAGATTATTTCTTTCTTATTCTTAGGAAATTTCACTGTTAAAACAAGAAGAAAAATTAATTAGTAAAAAAGAGGATAACAAAAAAAAAAATATTACCATAAAGTGGTAATAGTGAAACAACATGATTAACAAAAAAAGACAGTTAGACTGGACTATCGGCCCTCTTTGTTCAGAGCTAAAAAAGGATGAAAATGTTCACTATGATTAAAAATGAAACAGCAAGACCAAATGTTATATAAAAGAATATAACACAAGTTAACTACTTTTAAGCCTATCAGCCACTCCTTCTGTTTACAGAGAGCTGGCTGGTAGGACTTAATGTAAGCAGATTTCAACACATACAAATGAAATTCAGAATTAACCTTCTTCAGAACTGATAACATGTCTTTGTTGTAAGACTGGGTACATTGCTGGTTTTGTAGCAGATGTTCAGCTATTTGTTAATTGGCTGTTTTGATATTACCACTTTACACTAATATTATTTTTGTTACTCTTCTTTTTTGTTGTTTTTCTCTTTGTTTTAACATACCTGTTTTTATTGCTTTAATAGATTCCTTTGTCTTCTTTGACATACTCGAAAGGAAACAAAAGTAACAACATTGTTCAGTAGTTATCCTTTGTATGCTAAAAATGATGAATTTTATACAACCTCAAGGGAATTTGAGTACGAAGTAAAATTACTATCATAATTTGATTGTTATTTATCAATTAAGGAATGTTACCAAATTTATTGAAGAATTAATTGAGCTCCCTACTTTTTTAAGCAGAATATAAAACAAATTTGACAGAATTCTTTAACTTTGAATGTAATTGTTATGAAGATTAAAGTCCCAAATGAATTTTATAAGTTTACAATTGCCCATCCTCTGCAAATATGTTTGATGTTTTGTTATCTGTTCTTCATTCAGAATTTCAAATGCAGCTGATCGTCAAGCAGGGGAGACAAGTACATCTGCCTTTGATGCTTTAGAAGGATTTGTCACTGGACTCTATTCTGAGTTATTCAATGTTGTTGTAGCTTTGATCAACAGGTCAGTTACTAAATCACTTACTCATTCATTTTATTCTTCTATCTTAATCAATGCCTTACATCAGTGTTTCTCAACCTTAAGCAATGGCACACCTAGTAGCAAATGAAAATATCATACTCAGCAAAATTTTAAAGGGTATACATTTAAATGTTATTAAATAAAAACCATAGATTTAAAATAAATACACAAATATGAACTTAGTTTTTCAATGTTTCTGTTCCATTTTGTGCACAACAAAGAATGTTGAATACAATTATATGAAAAAAGTTAATATTCATTTATTCAAATAAAGGAAAATTTTAAAAAGCGAAATTAAAAAAGTAAAAATACTTTTTAAAAAATGAATACTGAAACAAAGTATTTAAAATAACATAATCGAAGAATAGTGAAAAGAATTATTTGTAAAAGTTATTCAAATATAACACTGTAATATTGCTACTTCCACACACACACACACACACACACTACATCTATATATATATATATATATATATATATATATATATATATATGTACAGTAGCGTCCAAAACTAAGGGACAAAATTTTAAAACCTAATATTTGTTAGATATAACAACTGTGAAAAGCTGAAATTTTGACAACTGGTAGTCGTTATCATCCATAATAACATACTAAAATTTGAATCATTTGCAAAGGATAGAAAAAGAATTATAACAATTATACATATTATCTTATATCAAAATGAAGTAACATTTTATTTTTTTGCATTCATATTACCTTTGTAATTGCTAATATGCCCATTACAAGAAACCCTGTATATATTTGGATAGTGCTATGGTGGCATATTGCAAAAGGCATGAATGAATAAAGAACAGACGGCTCAAATATAAATAACAATGTTAAGAAGTGAGGGGAAGTTCTCTCAAATGGCAATGTCTTTTTCTTTGTTAGTTCATCTCATGAAATAATAACGAGTTAAATTGAACAGCCACTTAATGTCAAAAAAAGCAAAAATCAATTAAATATTTTATTGTAATATTCATTATTTTTTAAATTGATAGACTAAATATCCATTACTTGTGTTGTATATAGATGTAAATTATTTGTGAAAGTTAAGACATTTAACTTCTTTTGTTAAATGGATAAATATTAGGTGTAGTTCTCAGAATTTTTAATTAAAAAAAATAATTGCAACATCTTAAAAATGACAGCTCAACAATTGGAACTCTCCAGAATTAACCAAAAATACCTTTACTTTTACAACCCTCATAATTACAGAGAGACTGATATGAAAACCTTTAAAGAAAATATTTAGTATTTATAAGTAATCTTTTCAATATATTTTGAATAAAAATGATAATTTGTACTTGAAATTCATGTAAATATCAATAACTCAGGAATATAATGTTATATATTTTGATATTTTCTTATTTATTTTAGGGCTTTGACCACAAACTATCGTAATCTTGGTTCTATCACAATTCTTGACACACCTGGATTCCAGAATCCAGCTTCTTGTGGCCGTCAGACAGGGAGCACATTTGAAGACTTGTGTTGCAATTACATTCAAGAAAGATTGCAACTTTTTTTCCATGATGCCACTTTTACTTTGCAGCAGGACCGATATTCTCAGGTGAGAATTATTTACAAATTCCTCTTTTTTTTTTACACTGGTCTTCCATAGTTTTGTGATTTCACCTGCAGTTTATGGCTTATCTCAGTCTATACTATTTTAAAACTTAACCATATCATTCAAAAAATAACTAGTGAACTAATCTGTTTAGAATTTCTTAAAGCTTGACAACAACAACTCCATAAAAACTACTTTATGGTGGTGAGAAAGTGACTGAAGCTGAAATGCCAGGTCAGGACCAATAATATGGTTGATTCTTTGGATTTTATCAAGAATCTAGATATATAGCAGTAGCAATATATGTGACAGCAATATTCAAGACTTGGATGAATGGTAAGATAAATATGTAAAATAGATTCAGGAGAGAGAAATTGTCTTGCACAACACAATGAATCAACTTTTGTAAGAGCAGACCTAGCAATGGATTCAATATAATCTTTCCACTTCATGTCAGCTGAGAATGTAGACCTGAGAAATCCCAACGAGTCACCCTCATGGAGGTTAGTGTCAGCCATACTGACGAGAGGCAGGAAGAGGTTTTTCAGGTGATTTTAAAAAAAATTTTTTTATTTCACTTGGCTGTTATAAAGTTGGCATATGAAGTCAGATTTCATAATTGACCTCTGGCAGTTAACGTGTTAAATACTGGTTTTATGAAGTCTATGTAAAAACTTAATTATTTACTCTAGTATTTACTAGAGTAGAGCAATCTAAGGAAATAAAAAAAAAAATCATCAGATTATCTCCCTTGGATTTAAAAATGTTTTGACATTTTGATTTTCATATACATTGAAAAGTTCATCAAATATTTCAACATTGTTTAATTTACGCTTATAATATTATTAATTTATTGTTAATTATTTTATTTTTTCTTAAGGAAAATATTGAATGTGATTTTGAATTTGTGAACACCAGTCCTGCTGCCATGGTGTCTCTGATTGATAGACCTCCTCAACAGACACTGGTAAGTTTGGCAGTGATTTTTATCAGTACTTTATCGTAATATCATTTGATCATAATCTTCAATAATCAGTTATTTCTTCAACGATCTCAAAAGTCAGTCTTTTATCCTGTAGAATTACCTTAAAATAGGTTTTTCATTTAACATAGTTAAATAAAGTAAAAAAATGGCAAACAAATTTGGGCGGTGGTATTGTTTTGATTTATAATTAAAACTAAAAAGAAAAATGTGGATTCTTTTATCTCTACTTTTGTTCTCTCCAATTTGACTTAAATTACTCAGTTTGTCAAAAAAATGAACTTATTCTGCAGATGTCAAAATTTGCTTATTAATGTTTTCTTTATTAAATATTTACCCCTGCTCCCACATATAGTCAAACATTCTTATAATTTGTGTGTGTGTATATATATATATATATATATATATATATATATAGTGCTTGAGACCTGGAAAATCTGTACTCACTTACTCCTACAAAACAGAAAAATGTAAGGATACTGGAAAAACTAAATAAAAAAAAAAATTTATTAAATCTTTCTTGTCTCCCATATTTAACGAAAGCTGTTTTTTTTTTTTTTTAAAAAAAAAAAGAAAAAAAAAATTTTTGCTGCCCAAAATATTAAATATATATATATATATATATATATATATATATATATATATATATATAGGTACTACAATTGAGCTTTTTATTTAATTTTTCTTGTGTTCATACAAGTTTTTCTTTTCTGGACACAAAGTGAGTAAACTCTGTCTGGAAGTTCTGCATATCTGATTGCTTTTGGCTATTCTTTTAACCATTATCAAGGTTAATTTTTATTTTATTTTCAACTAAATATGTAGGTTTTTTTATGTATGTGTATGAAGTTATAAGAATGTATTATTTTCTGAACAGGGTCAGCACATTGTGGCTATATTCATAGTTAATGTTATTGAGTGTTTTTCTTTTTTTATTATTAGGGCTTCCATTATTTTTAATCTATTTTACATGTGGATGAGGTTATTATGCTTGTATTTTCTATTAGTATGTTTTGGATGGAGTCTTGTAGGTTTTCGTGTGTGTTTAAATCAGTCCTAATGGAGCTATAGTCAGGTAGGTGTAATGTTAGGTACCTCCACGAAATCGCTAAAAAAAGAGCATAGCTTGATGAAAAAGATGCCAACCTTGCCGAAAACAAAATTTTATTGTCTAAATGCTTATGTTATTATTAAGAGGAAAGACCAAAGTTTTTTTTAATTATTTTTAAAAAATTTTCCTTCTTTTTAGAACATTCTAAATTTTGATTAAAAAAACCTTTTTTCTATTTGTATCAGCGGAACTAGTGAATAACATAGACAATTTTTAGCACGTTTTTTTGGCATGACACACATTAATTTGAAAAATCGTGCAAAAATAGAAATAATAATCGGATGTTAATGAAACTTTCAGGAACTATTCACAGATGATCGAAATTATTATAAATATGTTTTTTTTTGTAAAAGTCATGGTAGAAATATTTTTTTAAAATATTTATTCCCCCCCCCATAACTAATTTTATGAAAACGCTAGAAATTCGATCGCATCGGTTTTAGTGATTACAATAATTAAAAGCACAGGGCTTTGAGGAATGCAAATCATGTTTTCTTTTGTTTTTAATTGGATACTCAGTAGCTGAAAATCAGCTCTGAATTGTAACATACAAAACTCAATAAAACAAATATATTATTCAATTTCAAATGCTTTTATTTGCTTTTAGTTGTTTTTATGAATATGGACAATATTTTCTGAAAGCAAAAAAATTTTTTCGATGAAAAATGAATTTTTAATACAATTATTTGTTATTTCATTAATTATAATACATTTTACATTTAAGTTGTTAAAATATTATAAAATTAGTTAAAAAGTCGCACAGGCTTTCATAAGTGTCCTTATGAGATAGATCTTTTTTTTAGCGTTGTAAATTGTATCATTTTGACTAATCAGAAGATCCCCAGTAATTAAGAAATGTAATTTTGTGCTTATAATCGAGCTGTAATTATAAAATACGGAAGACCAACCAGAATATAATTAAGTTGCGTTATTTGAGTTAAGCATTGTTCTCCGCTGTTAAGGCCTTTACTTTTGCGAAACACGTGTGAAGTTAATTTGATTTTTCAATTTCAACTGAGAAGGGTACCTACAAGTATCAGTATGATCTTATGAAATTTATATGATCTTATTTTTATATTAATCTCAGTTACGACATTTTTCCATAAAAGAAATATCAAAATTAATAATAAAATGAATGCAAATACAAATAACAGTAGAATGTAATAAATGTACATAAAATTATAGTATTTTATGTACAATTCTGATAAAATTTCATAAGAAAGGTACCTATAAATTAAGTAGATACCTTTCTTAAGAAATATGAAATTAAATGTCACTCTTAACAGTTTTATTTTAATTTCTTGAGAATATATTTCCCATAAAAGCATCATAAACGTAAAGGTGAAAGGTAAGTAAAAAAAAAAAAAAATTAGACCGCTGAAAGTTTTCGTTAAAAATAACGGGGGTAAATAATTTGTTCACGTAAATGTAAATTATTTCACTTTTCTCCTTCCGTAGAAGAAATTAGCCTCATGGAATTCGTAAATATATCATTCATCACATGTCAGGAGACGTGAAAAGTTTATGACCTGCTTTGTTTTATTTTCAAATTACATCTTTTTGGCACAAAAGCTAAGTTAAGTTTGGTTCAAAATATTTTAAATAAACATTATAATTTCTGATTTTTCTTAAAATAAGTTTTGAAAAAATGATAATTGATATTTAAAAAAATTTCAAACTCAGATTTCCAGTTTTTTTTTTTTTTAAAATGGAAAAAAATGGTCAATTTTGCTGACTCAAAAAAAACTAGATTTTTAACGAAAATTTCGGATGTGCTAGGAACGATTAAAAAATGGGAAAAATACCCCCAAAATACTTTGACCTTTCCTCTTAATAATAACAAACATTTAGACGATAAAATTTTGTTTTCGTCGAGTTTGACGTCTTTTACATCATGCTATGCTCTTTTTTTAGCAATCTCGTGGAGGTACCTATGTAATGTAAGTCATCTGGATAGGCATGTAGTAGTGTGACTGATATAATTATTTATGAATTTGGTTTGATCAAGAACACAGTTCCTCAAAGGGGCATTTGAATTTGGGAATAATGTTGGTGCTTTGTAGTTTTAATTTGCAGGTTTGTTGTTATTTTTTACTATAAGGTTAGCTGTTTTAAATTCTTTGTAATAGATAATTTAATTTTCTTGTTTAGGTCAACTGGGGTTGTGTATTTCTTTTATGATATTTCTCAATTGTAGTACCTTGTCAGTCATTTTTAATCAAACACACACTAATGCATACACACACACACACACATATATATATATGTAAGGTTGGTCGGTCAACTTGACATATTGGGACAACCACACATGCAAACTCGTTTGCTCGAGGTGGCAGATTTCCCAATATGTCAAGCTGATGTGTGATTTAACTCAACAAATATATATATATATATATATATGACTCAAAGGCACTTATCAAAATACATAAAAATTACGAGAATTTTTTTAACATTTTAAGTCCAGCACAATTTTGTCATAAAGTGCTTAATAGAAATCAATAAATGTTCAGTGGATTTCTAACTTTTATTAAAAACTAAAACTCTTTAACATACTAGATTTAGTCCTTAAACAGAATTCACATAAAGTAAATATTTCATTTACAAAAAAAAAAAAAAATATTTGTTTTGTAATCAGATTTTTTATTCAATTAATTTTTTTTTTTTTTTTCCCTCTGTGCAGCTTAGATCTTCCAATCCTGATCTTCGTGATTCTGATAAAAAAGGTTTACTTTGGATGCTTGATGATGAAGCCATTTTTCCTGGTGCTACAGAAGATTCTTTCATGGAACGCCTTTTCACTCAACATGGTGACCACCCTGTACGACGTAAGTATGCTCATGCATTTTTTTTTTTTTTTATGAATGTCAAATTAGTCTAGAGTATAGCTTGAGAATATATCAGCTGAAGCATGAAATGATTAGGATAATGGTCCAAAGAATACAAGGGAATTAAAAATAACCTGATATTTTATATTTTTAATAGCTTGAATTTGTTTTTGTTTTATTACTTCACCTCAAGCAAGGCAATAAAGCCATTAAAATACAAGGGGTTACTGAGTGTTAGAGTATATGAAAAAAATATACTATTAAGAAGAGAAGACAATAAAAGAATGAGAATTAAGATAACAGTAGATGATTGACATTGCATTTAAATTTTTGAAGATCAAAGTTGACAAGAAGCCGGAAGGGAGTTCTGCAAGTGAGAAGTGTGATAGAAGAAACTGTTAGCATAGAACTTACGGTTACATCTTGCCATTTCAACTGTAAAATGATTAGACCTTACCGCCAATGTAGTACTGCACTTAAGTCAATGTACCATCGAGGAAAGTTCATCAGAATTTATAGAAAAGGCACAGGGAAGCTATGCTATGGTAGTGTGAAAGTGACTGAAGCCATCTTTTATTAGTCATCATAAAAAATATTTCCTATGATTTAATAAATTTAAATTCACACAGGTACACATTTTTATTTTTTAAAAAGCTAAGTTATAAATGTATTTTAATAACATGGGTTAATAAAGATATTAATATAAGTAGAAAATATAAAATGTTGTTTGGATTACATTACAGACATTATTTAACAGAATAATATATTAAGCTATTTGATATTTAGATTGTTGTCTTCTTTATTGTCACGTTCATAACATTTTGGCTGTTGTACATTCTGGCCTCCTTCAGGTGATATATGTTGAAATTTCAAACTGGACCCTTTATTTAGTCCCCAAGGACACACGGGCCAGTGGATGAAAGCATGTTGAAGTAATGTAGTGACTTGGCCTAAAGAGTTGTGAGTTCAATACCTGGCCACCGCAGAGGTGAACAAAAACTTGGAGAGTCTAATTATTAAAGGGAAATTAACTGAAACTGAATAGGCATGGCATGTGGAACTAGAACACTCTACCTCAGTGGACTAAATAAAGAGTTTGGTTTGAAATTCCAACGTTTTTCACCTGAAGAAGGCGGAGTGTACAACAGCCAAAATGTTGTCAATATAACAATAAAGATGAGGACAACAATCTGATCAGTGTAAATAGAGTAAGTATTTACAATACCTCATCTCAGAAATATAAACAGATGTTAAAATGTTTGCATTTTGAAGCCTTTGAGTTGATAGTAATGATATCTCTATGTTTGTTGTTTGTTAAATAATGTCTAAGCTTTTCACCTTAAAGTAAATCATAAATGTACATTAATTAGCTTTCATCTTCACAACTATCATAGTACCAGGTTTACACATATACCATCCTGTCTTATCTCTTATGAGTTGCTACTATGTAATTTTTTTCACTCAAACCTTATTACATTGCTATTGATACTCGTAAAATTGATAGTTGAATAGGATTGCATTTTGAGCTCAAGCATATCTCTTGGAGCAATCACATGCACTTGTTAATTTTTGATATTTTTTTTTCATACCATGATAAATTTATATTATTTTGTTTTAACAGGAGACAGTCTACTCAGGAAAGGGTCTCTTGGTCACACCTTTATTCTTAACCATTTCCAAGGAACAAATCCTGTCCAATATAATGCAACAGGTTGGTTGAAAGTGTGTCGGGAAAATGCAGTCAGCAAAATTGCCATTCATGTCTTACAAGACTCTAGCAGGTATCAATTTTTACTTAACATTTTTCTTTCATCTGTTGATTGGCCACTTTAAGTATTTATTTCTGTTTTTTTTTTAATATCAAAATTAAAGGTAAATTTAGTGATATTTATTTAAAAACTTTCTTGCAAATAAAACATTCTCTCATTTAGAATGCACACATTGTTATATTTTTAATAAATACCTAAAGTGAGCAAATATGTAAAATATTTAAGGCATTTCATGTTCAATATACACCCACATATAGTGCAAGATAAAAAAAAAAACAAAAAAAACTGAGGCTTTCCCACTTCACTGTCTCAGTTTATCTGTTTCACACACCCACACACAAGATCGTGGTTGCTCCAAAAGTAACACATCCTATTATATTGGTCCCCAGTGTTAAAGGTATGGCAATAGAGATTGCTATTTCTTTCTAATAGCCAATAATTATTTTGTTAAAGATTGTTACTGATAAAATGACATAGATTAAAGTGTGGATAAAGTTGATGTCATTGAATAAGTGGTAAAAACACTATCCACCACCGGCCATGGCATAAACACAGGCCAAACTGCAGATGTAAAAACTGGCAATAGCTAATACATTTCAGCAGTGGTGACAGAAATATATTTGACAAGACATGTTTAGATTTAAAATTGACCTACTCAAACAATAGATAACATCACTGGCAAGGTGGGAGAGGTGGGAGAGTGATGAGTTAGTACTTCACTCTTTGTATCTGTTGAAGTAAATAGGAGGCATTACTTTTGATGCAGCTTCTTTATGAGTGTGTGTTTTATCTCTTAGTAGAATTTACACATTTTAAGCATGATACATTCAAGAAGACAAACACTGATAACAAGTCCACATTTTTTCATTTTTCTTTGTGTCATTTTATTTAAGAATAGTCAGTTTCAATCTTGGAAAAATAAAAATACAAGTAAGGAATTTTATGGCATATAGTTTGCACTCTAAATTTAAAATGAAATATGTTGAGAAAATTAAGGGAAATTTTCTAGAGCCTTCTGATCTCATTGGTGAAGATTCGTAGATTTCAAATTTGACTGTAGAACATGATAATTTTTGGTTGGAGGTAGAATAATAGGATATCTTGCATTTGTGAATCAATTATAGAACATAATTCACTTTATAAGGGAGGTAACTACGATGAACCTAGTTCGAGAATAACTCCCCTTGGATGCATTTTGCTTGGTTTTTAACTTTTGTTGTATGCATTGTTAAATTTTATTGAAAGTACTGATTTCAACTTCATCACTTAGTGTATTATTGTTAATACCTTAATTCCAATTCTGGAAAAGGCTCGTTCTTCTACTATTACTAAAATCAGAAAAGTTTGGTATCATTTAAACTGAAATTTCATAATAAAACTTACTATAAGAAAATTTGTAAAATACAGGGTGGATTGTGGAGATTTTGGTAAATGTATAATCAATATCCATTATTCTCTATTTTTCCAGTAAAATGTGTTCATTCATGCATATAACATATTCTCAATTCACTACCCCACTTACACATGCATGTATGCATACACATGCACACACACATAACTGTATCTGGCAACAAGGGAGGTTTTGAGGAGTGTGAAACCACCCCTTGATTGTTGCTGTTTCTACATCCACCTTAACCCTGGGTGGTGGGACCTGCTGGAGTCCCAGCTATGGGCAAATAGTGTGCCCCCAAACAAAAATCAATGGTACATTTTTATCATAAAATGACCAACATACATTTTTATAGCAAAGGAAAATCAATGCAACACTTAAAAAAAAAAAAAATATAAAAATAAATTTTTATCATAAAATTACCAACATTACATTAAAATGTAATGTTGGTAATTTTACGATAAAAATGTGTATATATATATATATATATATATATACACACACATTACATTAAAGAGGCCAACAAACAGCTAGCTGACAAAGAAACCTACAAAAGCATACCTACAGATCCCCTTCCAGAATACCAAAAAGAATTAACTAGCTCACTAAACATAATGCTTCGCAACAATCTAATCGACAAGGAAACATGCACAACACTTACACCCACAAACATTACACCTGCCCGCTTCTATCTCCTTCCTAAAATACACAAAAGCAACAATCCATGAAGGCGGTTATTTCATCGTTCAACTGCCACACGACAAAAATTTCCAAATACATAGACCATTACATACAACCGCTAGCTAAGGAAGTAAAATCCTACATCAGAGACACAACAGATCTACTGAACAAAATTAATCACATACAAACAGTACCAGAGAAAGCTATTCTAGTGACTATGGACGTTAGGTCACTATATTCAAACATTAAAAACATCGAAGGGCTGGGCCGCCCTTCAGGAAGCACTTACTAAAAAAAGAAGAAAACAGCCCCCCCCACAGAAGTCATCATAAAACTCATGGAGCATGTCCTTACATTGAATACTTTCAACTTCAATGGAGCACACTACCTTCAAATAAGAGGTTGTGCCATGGGCACCATTGCAGCTCCATCATATGCTACAATATTCATGGGAAAATTTGAGGAGACCCATATCTATCCAATCATTGGTAGCGACTGCGTATTCTATGCAAGATATATCGATGATATATTCTTTGTATACACGGGTAGTGATGACAAACTTACCCAATTCCTTATGACCCTAAACACAGTGCACGACTCAATTAAGTTTGACTATGAAAAATCCACAACATCAGTAACATTTTTAGACACCCGCATTTACATAGATGAAAACAGAAAACTACAAACGACACTACACACTAAAATCACCGACACCCACAACTATCTACACTTTAAGTCTTCCCACCCTAAACACCTCAAAGAGAACCTTCCCTATTCACAAGCACTTAGAAGGATATGTTCCAACAATGAAGAATTAAATAAACACATTGAAAATCTGGAGCATCAATTCACAACACGTGGCTATAAACAACACCTAATCAGGGAACAAATAAATAAAGCAATTTCCACACCTAGAGAAGGCACCCTAATATACAAGATCAAAAATAAATCTAGCCGCATACCTCTAGTAACCACTTTCAATCCCACTCTGCCTCCACTATCCCAAATAATCAAACGTCGCTGGGAAATACTACATCTCAAACCAGACCTAAAAAAACTGCTTAAGGAACCCGGCCTTCTTGCATATCGTGAGACCTAAGAACCTAAAAGAAATCATAGGTAGTAACCACATTTCAGGGACAAGGTAATCCGTAAGGAACTGAGAACAAAAACAAGAGGATTTTCCCAACCATGTAACAACAAAAGAAGTTTATGTTGCAACCATATTAAAAACATGAATTCATTCACTAGCTCAATCACTAAATCTACTTTCAAAATCTACCATGATTCTAACTGTAGAAGTCAAAACATAATTTACCTCCTAGAATGCACACTATGCCAGAAACAATATGTAGGAAAATCTGAATGGCCCTTTAACTACAGAATTAATTATCGTAAGCGAATTAAATCGACTCCCTATGAACAGTTATTACCTGTAGAACAACATTTCCGCCTAGAAAAACACGATTTCAAAACCCATGCCAGATTCACTATAATTGAGAGAATAGAAAAGTTCAGAGCAGATAACATTAGAAAGATTTTAGAGTCCCATGAAAATAAGTGGATACAACATCTAAAAACACAATACCCAGCCAGGCTAAATCATAAATTTAACAATATATAATAGTAACAATCAACAAATCAAAAACCTACCCACATTTCTCACCCACACAAGACAGACATGCTTATGGAGGAATGGAGGCCTCACTTATACACTCACCCACACGATTATACACACGTACACACACCATACTCACTCACTCCCTAATGAGCCAAATGATAACACACACCTACAGCAATACACACGCTTACATATCATACTCACTCACTCCCTAAGAACCAAATAACACACACACAAACACTAAACAGAGACACATCCCTCACCAGGTCCAATAAAACTGTCAAACTGACCAGAGAATTCAGGATAAAATGTATCTATCCAGTTCTTATCTCAAATAACAACTTAAAAGAGACTGTTTGACCAACACAAGGAATGTTAAAAGATTCATGTGAAAAAGAAAAAATAAAAACAAATGAAAACTACAGACAAAAGTTCATTTTCTCCAACAAAAGACATTCATTTCTGTAGTTCACTGCCAACAACAAGCAGAAATATTTCTCCTCCCGATGATGGCCATTTCGGTCGAAACTAGTCGAGGAATCTAAATGGAATAATAATAATAAAAAAACGAAAGAATATTAATCTACAAACCCAGTGTGTCTAATGATTTTAATTTTTAATTTTTCTTTTCTTATTGTTCAATATATATATATATATATATATATATATATATATATATATATATATATAGTGTTGATGTACAAAATATATATTTAAAAACATAGCTTTCATCTGATAGTATAAAATGATGTACAAAATATCTGTACTTGAAAGCATAAAATTATATGCAAAATATTAAGAATTTCAGTATTAAATAACCCATGGATGTTGTTATGCTGCCAAACAAAATCAACCAACAAAAAGCTCACATACATACACACACACACACACATACACATTCTCTCATTTTTCTCTCATTCATTATCTCTTTCTTTCTCTTGCATCCCCACTGCTCTCTTCTCCTTCCCCTTTACATTTACACATGCACACAATTACTTTTCGTCACATTCAAACACATATATGCATGAGGACAAGTGTGTGTGTGTGTGTGTATATATATATATATATATATATATATATATATATACACACACACACACACACATATATGTTATTTTTATGGATACAATTTATTTGATCAGTTTTTTAATTAAACAGTACTAATTACATTTACTAGCCTGAATGTTCGAGAAATTTCGTAGAAAATAGGCATTCTCCACCAGGAAACAAACCTGTATTCCTATACGGAAACCATCATTTGATCTGACCTGCAATAATATTTAGCTACAGAGAAGCATCTGTTTAGTAAAGTCCAAATTACAGTTTATAAACACATAATTGTTGACTTTTTTTTTTTTTTTTTTTTTTTGATCAATCATATCAGCTCACAAAATATTTCTTAATGACAACATATAATGAAATGGATTAAATCTGACAATTATTTAATAAATTTTCTATTTATACATTATTTTTATTTATTCTTCGTTTTTTACACAATATTAATTACATTTACCAGCTTGAATGTTTGAGAAATTCTGTAGAAAATGTGCATTCTCTGTCTGGTTAGCAAAGTCCAAATTACTGTTTCTAAACACGCAATATAATATAGGAATACAGGTTTGATTTCTATCAGAGAACACATATTTTTGACGAAATTTCTCAAACATTCAGGCTGGTAAATATAATTAGTATTGTTTAATTAAAAGCAGCAGAGCATTAACTTAAATAAACTGTATCTATAAAAAATAAGGTATAAACATAAAATATATTAAATAAATGTTGTACTCAATCCATACAGACAGTGTAATGGGTAAATTGTTGCCATTTTATATTTTTAATTTCGTGCATGCATGTTTGTTTTTGATTTTGTTGACTGCACAGTATAGTGGGTGTCAGTTGGCCACTGTCTGTGAGAAAAAATGACATGATACAATTCACTCTGCCCAGAATTTGGAAATGGCATGCTCTATTGCTTGGCATCTGCACTGGAAGCGCCAATACAAACATTTCAGAGTGTTTGGATGCCAATCTGTAGACAATGCAGAGAATGATGTGTTCCCAAAAGATGTACTGAGAGTGATGAAAACCAAATATCCAGTTAACATCATGGTGTTTGGAATGATCACTAGTGATGGTGATGTTATTCATCTTCCCACAATGCTTTAGACTAAACACAGATCTATATCATGTGCTTTGAGGCAGTAGTGCCACCTAGGTCAAAAGGGTGGCTGCTGGAAGACCCTATGTCTGGCAACAGGACTCTGCACCATACCACACAAGCAGGAGAACCCAGTCATGGCTGTCAGACAATTTCTGTGACCACATTACCCTTTACATTTGGCCACCTAACTCCCCAAACTACAACCCCCTTGATTATTATGTGTGGGGTGCAGAGTGAGTGACCAGCAAAACTCCTTGTAACACCAAAGATGAATTGAAGGCAAGGATTATGGCAGCATTCACCAACTTAAACAAGGAGGCTGTCCAAAAGAGTTGCAGGAAATTTCAAAGTCGTCTGGAGGCCATGGTTGAAGCCAATGGCGATTTTATTGAGTAAATTTACTCTTTAGTATTTCAAGAAGTTTTTGTGTAATTTTGGTAAATATATCTGTTAAAATTATGTCGTCCACGTCATTTTCATTTTTGCGTAATTTAGATGACAATTTATCCATCACATCCCCTGTGTGTGTGTGTGTATATAGAGAGAGAAAAGGAAGAATTATTCTTTATCAATGTTTCATCCTCTGATGGATTTTATCAAGGCAAATATAAGGATTTTATTATGCAACCTGTATTTATAAACAAGTAAAAATATTAAGTTTTCTGTTTATGCATACATGTTATATAATGAATAGTTTTTCATTTTGTCTTGATTCATATTGTCTTTTTACAGATATATTTTATTTCTATCTGAATTTTTGAATTTTCTCTCTCTCTCTCTCTCTCTCTATATATATATATATATATATATATATATATATATATATATATATATATATATATATATATAATAAAAGTTTAGGATAATATGCATATTTAAATTAGCATGTTATGAAATAACTTTTATCATTGCTACTATTAGAAAAATTAATGATTTTTTTTTTTTTTTTTTTTAACCATATTGGACAAGTCAGAAATTGAAGAATGAAAATGTAATAAGGTTTAAAATATCAGTAAATTTAAATAAAAATAGAATGTCATATTCTTTGTTTAAATTTAATTTGCTAATTCTATGAGTTGATTATTTTCAAACAATATTTATTTAAAATTTTTGATGTATTAAATTTACATGAAAATTGAGTGAAGATGGCTCAAATCAAATTCTTTTAGATTCAACTGGTGTAAATTATTTAGAAATAAACTGTTTGTTTTTGCAGGGACAACATAAGTGAGTTATTTACTACAATGCGAGGTCCTGTGTCTACAACAGTCAGTGGCTCAATTGTTGGAGAGAAACCAACTTCGTCTTTGCGAAGAGCAGCCAGTATGAGGCGAACTTTTACATCGGGTGGAGCCAACATCAAACGAAAGTCCATTTGCTTGCAAATCAAACTACAAGTTGTAAGTACACAATTAAAGAACTTGTAAATGATATAAGATTCTGCTATGTCAGTGAAATTTTGACATATGTTTTAATATTGTGTATACAAGCCAAATAACCATTCTACAAAGAGATACGTTGTCAAAAGTTCTCTTAACTTGATAAAATTTCTGAATAAACCATATTTTCAGCAAGACATTTTATAAATTTCTTTTTGTCATACAAAGTACACTTGAATTTCCTACTCTGGACATGTCTACGTAGTGTTGATCAGGAAAGAAACATTTAAATACTTTTCTAATGTTTATAATAATAAATTTAGAATGTTTACAATTTTTCATTTGTTTAAATAATTCAGTATAGTTTTAAGAAAATCTAATTAAACAACTTATTTTGACTTATTTAGATAATTCCCTACATTTTTCAGCTATATTCAACTAAGTTATAATGAAAAATAGCAGATGACAACTATGCTTCTTATGAACGCTGTAGGTTTTCTTACAACTGAATTTTGACAAAGCAAATATATGTAAATTCTTTATGTACAAACATGATTAATTTAAAAAAAAAACTTTGGCAGAAACAGTGCTTATATATGGCAATTTTTAAAAATTTCTATTAAAAATAAATAACAGAAGAAATATTTATCAAAATATACTTTTAAAATTTGTTATACAGATTAAATATTACTTGTTAGTTATACACACACACACACATATATATATATATATATATATATATATATATATATATATAGTGTAAATATTTCTTATATGTTAACAGTTTGGGCTGTTTTATACTACTGATGTAAATAGAAAAAATTAGTCTTTTGTGAATTTATAAAAGATGAGAAATAATTTAAAGCTGAAATTATCCTGATTAATTGATTTTGAATGGTATTTTTATATTTAGATTTCACATTTGACTTCTTTTGAAATAATTTTATTGTTAGCATGTAAATTTAAGCAATCATAAATGCCTGGCTACATTCATGTGTGTTATCACAAAAATATATATGATTGGGCGATGGTAAAGTTTATATAATGTTAGTAAATTTGAGTATTTGGTGTTGCTTTTTGTGATACATATATGTAAGAGGAAAGCATATTTAAAAATAAGCTTGTTAGTTGTATTACTGTCCATGAGTTCTGCTCATCTCTCTGTATATCTAACTCTCTCTCTCTCTCTCTATATATATATATATATATATGCTATTTACATTGTTTGGACTATTGTCCTCATCTTTGTTGCCATATTTATCACAATGTTTTGGCTGTTGTATGCTCTGGCCTTCTTCAGATGGAACGTACAACAGCTGAAATGTGATAAATGTGGCAACAAAGATGAGGACAATAGTTCAAACAATGTAAATAGCATACATAATACCTCATCACAGAAATATATATATATATATATATATATATATATATATATATATAACATTATTTATTTTAGGATATTTAATATTTAGCTCTACTTTATATTGAGCCCTCTTTTAAATGTTATAGTGTAATTATACTCCATTTGTTCTCATTTCACCCATGTGTTTATGTGTGGGTGTATGTATGTGTGTGTGTATATATATATATATATATATATATATATATATATATATATATATATATATATATATAACTTTAAAAATCTGGAGGTCTGTTGAATCCCTTACCTTGGTTTCAACCTTACAACTGACCACCTGATTTTTAAAGTTAAAAGCTCTACATGTTATCTTTACTTTCGTTTTTTCACACGTGTATTGATGTGTGATAATTAATAAAAACAAATGCATAAAGAAAATGGAACCAAATTGGCTCGGCTACATAAACAGATACAAAGAAAAAAAATTTAAGTTTAAAATTTCAGTGTTTCAACATTTTCAATATTTCTTGTTGAGACATAATTATAGCTGACACTTGCATTTTTATATAACCCCCTCCCCTTCCTATAATTTTATCAAGAAAAACATTACTTCACTGAAGTCCTTTGAGAAGACCAGACACCTTACATTGATTTTTTTTTCACTTTGTCATTCATTTGTCTAACATTGGTCCCATATATAGAAATTTATACATTATATTTTCCCAATTTTATATATATATATATATATATAAATTATTAAAGGAAAACCAAAACCATGGATGAAACCAACTGACAACTTGCCAAAAGACCTAAAACCCTCATCCAGATAAAGTCTCAAACAAAAATGATAATACTGAAAAAAAGGCAAACCTACTTACTCAGTAAAGTGCTCAAAGCCTAAGTTGCCTAGACAGAGCAAAAACACTTGACAACATTAATTCCTATGAAAAGATGGCCCTAATCATGCCCTGAGTTTCATGCTCATGTGATCTTCAGATGGTTTTGAACACCTACTGCTCCAGGTTTGGTTTGCAGAACCACCTATATATATATATATATATATAATCTGGAGGTGGTTTGGAGCAGTCTTGACACCAGAAGTCAGTGATTGTGACCAGTACCAAAATTGCACAGTGACAGTGCTCTCTTTGAATGCTAAATTTTTGGTGCTGAGCATCTTTGAAATTTGTAGATTGTTGGTGGACCATGGCATGCCAACATGATCAGTTGACAATATACTACTCTAGCTCTTTTGGTCTAATCTTGTATCAATGGAGGTTAGCTTTGGTTGCATTTTTGTACTGGATCCACTGACAGTCTTCTTCAAAACCAAAGAAAAACAATTCAAACTCCTTCCTGGTCTTTTCAACAGGAGTAGAGGTTTGTTCCTTGTTTCCTGTTTAGGATTTGATTTCCAGTTCCTTCTAAAGTTTTCTAAATTTTCTTTCCCTCCTAGTAGCCTCTTGCATATTAGTGGCATTATTGCCTTGATTGGGGCTCTAAATGCAATTCCTTCATGCTACTTTGTATCCACTAACAAAAGATATAAAGTGTCTATATTTCTGAGGCAAGTTATTGTAACTATTTACATTAGTTACATTGTTTGAAATGTTGTCCTCATCATTATTGCCATATTCATGATGTTTTGTCTTCTTCAGGTGATATTAGTTGGAACTTCGAACTGAACCTTTTATTTAGTCCACAGGGGTAGATTGTTCTAATTGTGTGTGCCATGCCTTTGAATATCTCAGTTAATTCCTCTTGGTAACTCTTCAAGTTTTTGTTCTCTCTGCTGTGGCCAGGTATTGAACTCCCAATTCTTTGGGTCAAGTCACTTTTAGGGTCCCTCAACCAACATTTTTATCCACTAAACCATGTGTCCTTGGGGACATAACTCTTATGAACATGAGCTCTATTTATTACAGAGTTTTGTAAAAAATGCTATCAGAAACAAAATAGTCTAGCATTCTGCAATAAACGTGATTCTTAGACAGAGATTAATATGTTACGTACATCCTGAAACACATTTTCAAACCTTTAAAAATTTACTATTATGAAAGTTACCTTTTTTTTTTCTTTTTTTTCTTTTTTTTTAAAATATTGCCTTAAGATTTCTCCATTCAGTGATCATTTACTTAATTTAGTTCATGTAAAAGACTCAATAGACATTCTGATAGTAGCTCAACACTGAACAATTTCTGAAACAATTAAGCCAAAGTGTCTTCATATTTTTTACCTCTTGGACATGTTTTTGCCTAAGTCATCATTACTTTCATCCTCCTTATGTAATATTCTGATTGTTTTGTTATTGCATATAATTAAATACTTGAGATAATATTAGTTTTATATACACAGATATAGAAAAAAAATAGAAAATTTAATTGGAATTTGCATCAAACTACTTTTTAAATAGATTTTCTTTTTAATCCAACATTATTTTTAGTTGGTACACGTGTTTGTCATTAATTTCAATGTTTAAGAATAACAGGAATGTCAACTCAAACATGTGTATCCACTAAAATTAGCATTTATAGTAATAATAAAACTACTTGTTAGTATGGCCATTGAATAGATAGACATCCATCAACACATCTTTTATACATTTAGCATAAAGACATTGGATACACAATAATATATATATATATATATATATATATATATATATATATATATATATATATATATATATATATTTATTTTCTTTTTAATCTGTAGAGGCATTTTAATTTAAATTATATTGTAAGCAGTTATTTGCAACTCAGTTATGTAAAGATAAGGAAACCTTTGAAGACAATCAAATTATAATCTCTTATCACATGTCATATATTGTTTTAATATTTTCTTTTGTAAAATATTTTGGTGGGAATGACGACTAAAGTTATATTTGTTACATAAATATGACAAACAAGTTAACTGAATTATTGTTGCTTCTCTTTCAAAGACTCAGCAAACTAGAGGAATTTAAAATGATATAGTTTTCGTTCACTTCATTCATTCTATTTCTTCACCTTTCATTCCTCTTTCTCTCTATATAAATATTTTTTATAAAACATGTCTGCCATCTGCAAATATTTTCTTGAATTTTAAAAATTATTTTACATTATATATATATATATATATATATATATATATATATATATATTTTTTTTTTCAAGAAAATCTGACAGTTGAAAAAAATTTTTGTGCAATGTGTTTCTTCTGTAAGTTGTTTGATGTTGATGTGATTACACATGCACATGAAGTAGAGGGGGTGCTTTTATTCCGTTTTTATATTTTTGGTTCAGAATATTTTGTTGGCAGTTTAATAACTTGTGAAGTTCTTTTGAATGTGTAAAACATGTAATTTATTTTTCAGTACTTATTGATTTTTATTGGTATCTCTTCAAGGAAGAATTGTTAGAAAAATAGAATGTTTTTCAAAAATATAATAATAATATGCAAATAAAATTATGAATTTCATTCGCATATTATTGCTTTTAATAGTACTTGATAAAATTGCTGATTTTCATTATCATTGATATAAGTAGTAGCCATTTTTAATAATTTGCATAGTATTAAAAATACACAATGTCTGTTCTGAATGTGTCCAGCCATTTTGGATATCACAAGGACCAGTTGTGCCATGTTGATGTAACTTTGTAACCAATTGAGGGAACCTTACTGTGCATGCATGAACATTCTGCTGTATAGTTACTTGGTAGTGTGATACCATTGAGCTTGGGAATTGTGATTATGAAATTTACAACGACCAAGTGAATAGATATTTTTGTCTTGTGCAGGGATTTTTGGACAAAACATTGAATCACTCTCAGCAACTTGTGGCTTTTCCCAAAGCTAAAATAGCATCTTGGATATGATGATAAACTACATCTGCATCCTGGGTAAGATGATAAACTACGTCCAACAGCAAGGCCTCTGATAATACGTTTTTGAAAAAATAATGTTGCCAGCTGTACATTTTTAAAAAATAATGTTACCAGCTATGCATTTTTTATTTATTTATTTATTTTTTTTTTTTTGAAAGAATAGTGTTGCCGGCTATACGTTTTTGAAAAAATAATATTACCAGCTATACATTTTTGAAAAAAAAATAGTATTACTATTTTGAGGAAAAAATATTAACAGAAATAGATTTTTGACAAAACAAAAATAATACCAGGGGGGAAAAAAAAATGTTGTCAGCATTAAATGACCCATTGAGGTTGATATACCGTAAAACAAACCAAACCAAAGCTAAAATATCTATTGAAATGCCATGGATGAGTTCTGCCTGTATTTTTGAGATGAGGAGTTATCATTATTTATATCATTTGTACTCTAACAGTTGTTCTCATCTTTGTCGTTATAACATTTCAGCTGTTGTACCCACTGGCCTTCATCAGATGCTTGTTGATTTGAGTAACCTTCAGGGAATTTAAAACTGAAACTTTCATTTAATTTACAGGAGTACCTTGTTCTTGTTTGCTGATCATGTCTAGGGATATCAGTGTTATGCAGATCGACAAGCACTTGATGAAGCCTGGAGGACACAATGGATGAAATGTGATAACAAAAATGATGTGATTAAAGAGAATATGACAAAATAGTTAACAGAAATCCCCCAAAAAAGACTTATTAGCATTTTAAAAAGTCACTAAAATAAGTGCGCAAGGCTCCATTGGGTATACTGGTGGATGTGCAGATGGTATAATGGCTGGTGGATGTGAAAATAATGTAATGGATAGTGGCACAGAATAAGAAATTAGAGAGCTGAGTTTGAATTCCAATCAGGCTTGTTACATTCACTTATGCAAAAATACTATTGTGAATGATATGAATCAATCTATCTTCCTCCAGCTATGGGTTATGTAGTAGAGTAGCTAGCACACCTTCAGCACTCTACCAGATGGCCTGGCTCATAGCCTTAAATAGTCTGATTAAGGACTTCAAAAGTTGATACTAAGCTGATTAATATTTGGACTGATCTTTGTTTGGCTATACAGAATTTTGACCCTCCTCTATTCCTTGTAAGTTGTCTTGTTAATTGTTTTGTAACTTATTGTTCTGTGTTTTTTTTTGTATTTATCCATTAGCACTGGATACTGGTGCTGAATAAATATATTAAGCACTCATTCTTCTCTGTGTATCATTCACCTTGATGATACAACATGTTAAATATTAGAATTCATATCTGGAAAAAATTATTTTCAAAAACATTATTAATGCAATATTCACTCATAAAAAAATCTTACAAGCCAAAATATGTTTCAGCTTGAAGTAACTCACAAAAGGGTTGATAAACTGTAAAAAAAAAAACAAATTAATAAACATTGGAAGTGCTGAAGCTCCATTTCTTTAGTTATGCTAGTTTTTGTTAATACTAAATGATTGAATACTTTCTCGACAGTCCTAAACAATTTTTTCTTAATTTTAGTTTTTGTAAGTAATTCATCCTGACATTTTAAAAAAGAGGCCCCAATTTTTTTTGAGTCTAGTGATACTGTTATTATCTAATATAAATTCATACTAAGTAAGTTCTTTGATAGTTTGCAAGAAACATATTCTTGTAACTGTTGAAAATTTGAAATATGCATGCATGCCTGAAAGGAAAAATCAACTGGTATACAATTTCTAATTAGAAAGTGTGAATGACAAAATATATCAACTCGAACTTAACTTCTTCTAGTTAAGGTTGGTCCTTATCTATCATCTATATCCTCATAGTCTTCATTTTCTACCACTTCTTTCATTCATATCACATAGCATATTCGTCATTACTATTTTAACAGTAACTCTCTACTATAAGTGACTTTTAAGTCTTGTATTGGATAATTTCTATTCTAAAAAAAATATATGTAATAAAACTCCTGGTTGAATAGAATAACTGTGACAAAGGTTTTGAAACTGATTTCTAAAATTCTACCAAAACTGAAATTTGTTCTTTAAAGAAGAAATAGATTATCATAAGACAAACTATAACATTATTTATTCAATAATTTATTAAAATAATGAAACATAAACTGATATTCACAATGTTAGTTCTTTATTTTCTATTTAATATTCATCAATCTATATATAAAATTCTGTGACTTCTGTTAGTCCGTTCATCACATCCTATAAAATAGCCATACATTGACCCATCAAAGCCAAATTTTGGTGAGAAGTGCAACCAAGTAAGAGCGTACAAAGTACACTTGGTTTTACTTGGGTGCATAGCTTAGTACATTAAATTTTCATTAATTTTTTGGCAAAATTAAGTTTTATTATCTAACATACAAAATACTCCCACCATTATATTAAAAACAATTTAATGATTAAAATAACAAATACTTATTTACTAAAAATGCAATATTGTTTTTTGCATATTGTTTCTTTAAGTTTTTATATTTCATTGATTGGTTTGTGAAATTGAATGAAACATAGTTTGTGAATCTTGACAAAAAATGTTAGTGATAACTTCAATAATACTAAAAACTGAAGATTTCAGCATCTTGTAAAAAATTTCCAGTTCACATAAACAGACCAGAATTCAAATGTAGATCTGATTAATTCGACTAATAGCAACTGACCTTGGATACACACGGTGCAATAATTTCTATAAAGTTGTGATAAGGATTTGAATAAACATCAAAATATTAAATAAATTGACAACCATTGCTAATCAACTGTTGATTATTTACAAGATAATCATTTTGGCATGATTGTCATCCCTAAAACATTGAGATTGATTTGCATTTCTAAAATGACTTTAAATAATAATACAGTGTAACCCAGATATAAGAGAGTTGTCGGGACTGGAGAAGAAGTCTCTTATATCCGGGTTTGGTCTATTTTATATACATTAACACAGGCTCTAATTTGGGACCAGAGAAAATCTCTCTTATATCCGGGTCTCTTATATCCGGGTTACACTGTAATTCTTAATGCTCATCATCTTTGGTATTATTAGATACTCATTATTTATTAAGTTCTTGTTTTAATCTGTATCTTTATCAGACAATCGCTATATTGTGATACTTATGTATAAACATAGAATTATTTTTTGCATTTTGATAACATTTGAATGCCACACCATTTTTTTTCTGTTTATTTAATCTATTCCAAGAAATGCTGTGACACAGTGCTGACTGGACATGTGTGATTTTTTTTACTCTGCTAATTAGAGTTCTAATTCATTTGTACACAGGACACTCTAATTGAAACCCTGCGCCGTACCAAGTGCCACTTTGTTCATTGCATGCTGCCCCAAGCCAATGCCGGACTCTGCGAAGTGAAGACCAGTCAGACAAACAGCAGCAGTGCTGAGACTAATCTTCTTAATGTTCCTCTTGTCCGTTCTCAGTTAAGGGGAGCAGAAACTCTGGAGGCCATACGTATATTCCGGCTAGGTAAGTGCCTGAGAAAATTGCAGGGGGTGGGGAATTTTGTAGCTTGCCATGTTTTGCTTCGTCTCAACAAGTTAGCATGTAGTTTGTATCTATTTGTA